AGGGCCTCGTGGGTCTCTCTCTCTCTCTCTCTCTCTCTTTTTTGGAAGGGTTTTCTGGCTTCTGCTCTCCTGCTCGGCTCCCACTCCTTGGGCGATCAGGGAGGGAATGTCCGTCACCCCCTTCCTCCCAGACGTCCTCCTCCTTTCGCCGCCAGCCTTCTTGCAAAGCCTCCGAGGTGCGTGGCTTTCGGAAGGCGGCCGACGTCTCTCCGGTTCCCATTTGAACGGGGGGAGAAAAAGGGGTGTGTGTGTGTTGAGTTGCCCGACGAGGAAGCTCCGGTTTTGGAGGAGAGGGCAGGAAAGAGAAACCAGCTGCGCGATGTGGGTTTTATTCTTTGGCTCGACCAGAGGTCGCCTCCCCCTTTCCACATGTTGTTAGTTCTACTTGTGGATTCCCCCCCCTTGTTTATATAATCTCACTCGGGAGGACGGAAAGGGGGGGGGAAGGCCTCTGGATAGGTTCGGAGGAGTAACACCATCCCTTCTTTGATGAATGTAGGAGTATCTCAAAGAAACGCGCCAGCTACAATGTATGTGTTTGTTGATTAATTGAACTTTCAGGCTTCCTGAGAACCATAAATCTTTTTTTTCTGGATGGTGCACATTTAATGATATCAAAATACATGTACTGAGACAGTGACTGAAGTCAACAGATGATAAAACTGAGATAAGAACTAGTACCCTAGTAAAGAATCGAATGAACCTAAAAGACAACCATCAGCAACAGCCACTGAAGACATTAGATATAGATCTTAAAATGCTTTATAGGTTTTTCATGTTGTACACTGTAACTGTCAGGGCATCCTCCATGGAAGAGGGTTATTTCACAAACTGTCACCTCTCTTATCTGTTAGCTGGCTGGATAGTTCCCTGGTTCAGCTTTAAGGCTGCAGAGCCAGGGTCTTCTGGGAGTTCGATTCCTCTTGGCGCCTCCTGGGAATAGAGGCAGCCTGTGTAGCTTTGGGCAAACTGCCCAGTCCCCCAGGGTACCCCAGAAGAAGGGGTACCACTTCTGAGTACTCTCTGGCTAGATAACCCTAGAAAAGGGTCACCATATGTCAGAATTGATTCGATGGCTCCCAATTATTGTGACTGCTAACTTATCTCTTGGAGAAGTGATATGGAAGAGGGCACCTGAGCAAAACTTCAGACAACATTTAGATAAATACGGATGGAAATCCTGTTGCTTAGCATAGGATGTTGCAACTAGAGTCGGGCCACAGAATCGGCAGAGGTTTGGCGAGTCAGCTGCTCCATCAGTTCCATTGATGCAAAAGTTGCAACTGACTATGCCTAGTAACAGGATTTTAGCCACAAAGCAAAGTGCTTTACTGGCAATTTGGCCCCCAAAATATTTAGAGACTTGAAAGCTAAACCCAGCACTTCGGACTCGGCCAGGGAATAGACCAACAACTGGTACTGATACTAGAGTACTGACGTAGTATGGTCATTTTAGCCAGGCTCAACGAATGATCTCATTGCCCTGTCCTGAGGACAACCAGTTGTTTTGAAAGGCAACCCTACAGGTCATGTATTGGAATAATGTTTTTTTTTTTTTTAATGAATGAATGAACCAGGAGGTTTGTAGAGTACGAATGATAGTTGCCAGAGTATCTTTGTCTGGGTAAGGTCCTCGCTGGTCTATTAGCCTAAAAAAACCTCAACAAGTCACTTGTGCTGCCAGTGGCAGTGATGGATCTAAGCGTGACCCTAAGCGGGAACTAGATCCTTCACAGAGAATGCAATTCAATCCCAAAGAGATTGAACGCCACTTGCAGGACAGGAGAGCCACCTGGAAACATACTGAGTCTCAGTGGGTTGGCCCTCATCCAATCCATCTCTCAGCCCAGGCTGTGTGAGATTGAAAGCAGAGAGAGAGAGAGGTGGGCCTCCTCGGTTTATTGGTTCTCATATTTGATTTGTATTTGTTTAACCATAATAGTTGGGATTACATTTCTTTTTACATTTCTTTCTCTTCACAGCCACAAATAATGTAGTTTCCCAATTCTCATCTGCCCAACATGCATTGCTAATTGGTTTCATTTTACCCAGCTTTTTGTTTGTTTGTTTGTTTGCTTCAAATGCATAACAATGAAACATATTTTATGCTTTTTTTGAGTATTTGGAATCCTTCACACACATTATCATAATCAGCTAAGAACCTCAGTGCTAGAAGGGATCCTATGGATCATCTAATTCATAACAATGAAACATATTTTGTGCTTTTTTTGAGTATTTGGAATCTTTCACACACATGATCATAATCAGCTAAGAACCGCAGTGCTAGAAGGGATCCTATGGATCATCTAGTCCAGCCCCTCTGTCAAGGAGACAAAGTGGGGAATTGAACTCCCAGCCTCTGGCTCCACAGTCAGAGACACCTAAGCCCCCTGAACTGATCTTCCTCAGAACATCCCCGTCAGGGGCATTGTCTCTATATTCCAGATGGGAAACCTCAGTTATTTCAATTATATCCTGCCCTCAACAACCCTGTTCAGCTCTTGTAAACTGTTGTGGAGTTCAAAAGATTGCCTACTGGTGTATCCATTGAAACGACAGGAGAACCTCCGTACCCACAGGATCGGTACCCAAGCTTTCCCCTCAGCTGCCTGAAAATATTAAATAACCCCCTCCAAAGAAATACCTGTTTTCAAAATGTATTACCAGAATTGATGAGTAAAGGGAACCAGAGACTATATAGGGTTTCTCTCATCCATGATTTCCTCGATTCTGTAGGGGTGGGGACTTCGAACCAATCCCCTGTGGAAACCACGCGGTCCCAGTGTAATCATTTCAAATGAGGATGGGGAGATGTGGGTCCTCCACATTTTGCAAGGTAACTCAGAATTGGTGGAACCATTTAGGGTTGATGCATGCTGCAGGCCACCAACCTCAGAAGAGGCATAATGAGGGCCGTAATTGCTCACAGGAGAGGACTTCCTCTCTGTCCCATCATCTTCACTGGCTTATTCAATGAGGACAAGATAAAGCATTCGCAGTGACTCTTCCCAGCTAAGGAAGCGCCTTCTGAGGGAGGCTAGGCTAGCTGGCTTTTGCTAGCAGGCAAAGATATTTTTATTAAAATAGGTTTTTGGCTCCTGATCAGGATGTTTTAATGGTGTGTGTTGTTTTGTTGTTGTTGGTTTTCAATAGTTTAAACTGGTTTTAAATGGGTTTACATTCATTAAAGGTTGATTTTTTTTAGTTTGTATGCATTTAGCTGAACCCATTTTTAAAAAAGCATAATGTAAACTGCCTTGAGTTCTGCAAGAAAGTAGGTAGGTAGGTAGGTAGGTAGGTCGGTCAGTCGGTCGATTCCCTCCTTACTGTCAAGGCTAACCTAAAACCTGTGTCCTTAGATGTTATCTTGCATATTTGTTATGAGATGTCTACATTTCTAAAATAGGGTTTTACTGAGCGACAATATTTTAAATATGTGGGGAAATGGAGGAGATTCTCATCAAGGTTTCAAGTCCCGTCTTTGGATAAACATCTGGTGAAGTCAATAATCTTAAAAACAGAGTATTTTGAGAGAGTATAGGATCCAAATTTTACTTTAAAAAATTTATCACAATAACTGTAGCAGACGAAACAGACAAACCCATTTTTATTTTTCTGCATTGTGAGATGTTTGGCTTTTGGTTATTTATAGCTGCCCATTTAATCATTTGAAATGATTTCTAATTTGTTATTTCATATTGCTGAGAATAGTTTATAACACAATATAATTTGACCGGAGATATTCCCTGCTCTGAAACTTATTTCTGAGTAGAATTTGGAAGCATCTTCCTAAGTTGATATATATACACTTTTTGTATGCAGTACACTATAGAGTATACACACCCACTTTTGAGAGTGGCAGAAGATTTAAGGTGTGTTTCTCAGAAGCAATTTTAAGGAGACCCAGGATGTTTTCAGAGAGGTGACTATGTCAAAAGCAGAAAGAAAAAAAACTGAAATGTTGTTGCACCTTTAAAACTAGTGATTCATTTTGCTTGAGCCTTCATGAATTACAATTTGCCACTTCTAAGACAACTGGAGAGGAGTCTGCAGAAATGGATTGTAAATCACTGAAGTTTAGACTGAAATCTGTTAGCCTTCATCTGGTAGCATTAAAGATGCCACAGTTATTTAGTTTGATTTTCTTTTTCTTTTGATTCTGTTTTTACTAACAAAATGAACTAATAGACAGATTTGCAGAATGGTTCTGGGGGTGGATGAGAAAACGCCCACCACCCAGTTTTTAAGCTTTATTGACCTCATGAAATTTCCCTGGACTCTTTAATCCCAACTGACATCAGTTATCCCCTCCACGGAAAATACTAAACATCACCTTCGACTATTAAGAGATGAAAGATGGGCCTTGCAAGAGCTGAGTGGCTAGATCTACTGGTCGAGTGACCTGTTGTATGTATGTGATATGTGTTTTATAATGTGTTGATAACGATTGCGAAAATAATTCTGAT